AAAAAAAAAAAAAAAAAAAAAAAAAAAGGAACGCAAACAGTATTTACGATCAGTATTTGGTAGCTTTCTTCGGAGATAGACGCATGCGATTTCCTAAAGTGATCGAAAGCTCAGGTACGAAGGGGTCCCGATGGTAATGGGCTAATGGTAACGGTAGCCTTAATAGCATCGTAATGGTGATGGTAATGGTAATGGAGTAGTTGTGTTCCGGGTAGACGTTGGTCGGTAAGGAACATCGAAAAACGTCCTGCCTTGGCACGCGCCCGCATTTACGGGCCGATGGATCGAAGAACGGTTTTCTAGTTTCCGGTCACCCGCGAAACATCATCGAACCCGTGTCACCGAGGTTTCGTTTCCTACTTCTCCCCTACTTCCTTTTTCCCGTGCTCTCCTTCCCTTTTCCTTCCTCTCTTTCCCTTCACGTACGAGGAAATGAAAAACGAATTAAATTCGATTCGGATCGGATCAATTCCCAAGAGTAGGGGCGTGCATCGAGTATTATATCCCATCGAGCCAGAACCCGTTTCATGCGTTCTATAATTGCGTTACAAGTTCGTTCGTTATTTCAGTTCGTTATATCGTTCAATAAGCGATGTCAGTAGTATGACGGCAGCCAGCGCGGCAGGAACAGGAGGTACTTACGGCCTTCCTTACATGACCGGCAGCCCTACAGAATTGACTGCTTCGCCTCAGCAATTGTGGAACGCTCAAGGTAAATGTTTCGTTTTCGCGTTTTTTATGAGATCGTATCTCGCGTTACCCGAATGACAACGCGTAAAGAGAAAAGGGACGATCGATTAATCGATTATTCGATTCGTACAGGTCTAGGAACAGGGCTTCCCGCCATTTCAGAAGATTACGGTGCTAGCAGCAAGTCGACAGGCACGGTGACACATCAGGCCTTGCCAGGATTTTCGCAACCGTTCTGCGGTAGGGCGAGTTTTCGAGGATACAGTCCGTCTTATCCGACGCAGCAAAGCAATGCTGGAGTCGGGGCTGGAACTGTAGAACCCTCGTCGTGGAACTATGGCTCGCCTTCGAACGACACCCTGGCCACCCAATACGCTGCCCCTTCGAGGCGGCAACCCGTTAACCCTCCGTCGACACCTGCGCAGCATCAGCTCACGGCTACTGCTAGTCTTAGCGCGAGTAAGTATATATATTTTATTTTTATTCATTCACTTTTTTCCTATTTTTTTTCGTGTATACTTCCCCCTTTAAGATTGCGTTTTTATTCTTCTTGCTTCCTTCCTTTTCCATTCCTTCCTTCCCTCCCTTTTTTCTTTTATTAATTATAATTTTGTTGCGCATCATTGAAGCGAGAAAAAGCACATTTGGCTTGCGCCACTAATTTATCCCCACTATTCCCTATTCCGCGGGCGTGCAAATTTAAAAAATTCTCTACGCTCTAATTTTTCTCTTTTTCTTTTTTTTTGTTTTTTTATTTTTATTTTTATTTTGTTTTTACTTACTCTTCGGTTTCTCCACGGTGAACCTTAAAAGATACAAGTCAAATAATTTCGCGGATATGTAGATTTTTTTCGATCTTGGTCGGGTATACTCGAAGGACGATCCGTGTCGCATTACGCCAGCCACGGATGTGTTTCGAAGAGCGATAAATTGTGAACGATTTTGAAGGAACGCGAAGGAACAGTGACACGCACTGGCTGGATCGTATTGCGATCGTAAATAACGAGAAAAGGATTCGATTCCTCTTCGTAATTCGTCGAATGGTTAACGAGAAAAAACTAGCAAGGGAAGAAAAGAGAGAGCGTCGTCGCATTGTGACAAATTTTCCGAGCTCGCGCTACGTCGGTGGCCCAAATAAAGTCCAATATAAGTTTACGAAGGAGAATATCGCGTTACAGTTTTCCCTCCGTTTTTTTTTTTTTTCGTCAAAGATCGATCGATCAAAAAAGAGAAGTT